CTGTATTATACACGCGATGTTATATTGCTTTACACTTGTAATTAAAATTTATTTTCAATTATATTTGATATTGTATTTATGGCAGAAGAGGCCACCACCAGGACAAGATATAGGCAACAAAAAACTTCGCATATCTTTCAAGTTATCTCTTCCCTTGTATAGACCTTTCCAATGTTTACAAATCCACAGCCCAGCGTGCGATCTCCACAGCTCAGCACGCGCGTGTGCGTCGCTCCGGAAAACGTGCGAAGCACGCGCCATACGCACGAACACTGGAAATGGCACCGGCCATACGCTCTTTCTTGGAAAGGTCTACAGCTGTCAGAGGAGCTTCAAACATACAATGAAGTCGATTTCTGTTTGACACATAGGAAAGAGGTCGCTATTTATCCTAAATGGCGTTCCGAAGCGATTCGATAATTTGGTGTCGCTAGAACTGCACGGCTAATCTACCGTTCGCTTAAATGAACACCGCCGTTCGCTAAAGTGTCGTTCGATGAAAAAACAACCGCATCTTCACGTGGTAAATGATCTTGATTGGGACGAAGCTTTGGTGGTGCTTGTGTGCGTAGATGCTCAGCCGCAGCATGCCGAGCCTTTCGTTCGTTTTTATCAATGTCACGCTGCGGTCAAATGCTCAAATGCGTACATAGCCACGTTCTATAGGCCGTAGCTCTCAAGTTTGGAGCAGCGCTCCAGGCGAGCAAAATAGAATATTTGGCTCGCGTCTCGAACGTGCCGTCATCACGCTTCCCCACTACAGTTTTTTTATACTTCGTTTCATTTTAAGTGCCAGCGCAGCAGAGGCTACAAAAGCGAGCTCCGAGCTTGCAGTCTCCTTTCCAAGCACGCGCGCTCGTGCAGTGCGAGCATCGTTCAGGGGAACATGTTTTGCAAGTGGCTTCAGCTTCGCTATCACATACGGGCTCACGGAAGGTATGAAAAAAAGCAATAAAATAATAAAGGCTGATTGGGACGCTGAGTCCGAAGGCTCCATATTTTTTTTTTTTTTATTTTAGTTTTTTTCTTTTTTTAGACGTTTTGTTATCACGCGTCTACAGATGCTGACGGATGTTTGCATTCGAACATAGCACGTGCAACATTGAACGTTACAGCGCCGCCTGGATGGTGCTGCCAGCATAACATGGTCGTGTCTTGCGGACGCGCTCGCGCCCCCTGCCCGACAGCAACGGGTCCACACATTCTCTTTCTGACATGGATGAAAGCGAACGGAAGGCTCAGCTTGCTGCGGCTCACCGTCTACGCAGAAAAGCACCACCAGAGCTTCGCCCCAACCAACATCATTCACCACGTGAAAATGCGTTTTTTTGTGTTTTTTTTTGCCCTACACGAGCACGGAAGCACGTGCTCACGTGCTTGTGAGCACTGAACGCGTGAGCTCACGAGCAGGAGCACGAGACCCCGACGCCGGACATCGGACGGACATACGGACATGGCTAGCCCCTAAGGTGCTTCGCCCCTAATATTATGGGCTGACTTCATCAAACGCTGTTTGATGAAGTCAGCGCCTCCCAGGTTGTACCCCACTCAACGGTAATTACGGCAGATGGTAGTGCGATAATATTTTAAGATTTATAGATTCTACCATTTTGACGAAGGCAATAGAAAAGTATCTGCAAAAAGTAACTTCACTTAGTTACAAGTTACTTAAAATGTAACTTATATACAGATACATATTTTGAGAAATGAAATACCTAGGTTTGTACCTCAGGCACAACACAACTACCTAGATACCGATTTCCAGTTACTTGTACCCAGGTACTTTGAAAACCCTTTTCAATACCTCGTTCCTTTAACTATTGCTCAATGATGTTGAGTCCAGTTTAAAGTTATCTTCTTTGTGTTTCAAAACAACTATTTGAAATCCACATAAAATATCGTCTGCATATATTGTGACGAAAATCGGTGATGGGATATGACTTGATAGTTCAGCCATGATTGGATTAAATGATGCTCGAATGAGATCATTTTCCTGCGGAACGTCATGTTTGAAAACGTTGTTTTCCGGACTCTCTATCTATTCGCTGTCTGCAAAAATATAGTGCTATTTGTAACAAAACTTTTCATTTAGGGTAAAACAAGGCCTCTAACTCCAAGTTTTATAATACTGTGTATAAGGTGTGCATGACTAACAATGTCATATGCTCGCTAAATATCTAAAAATAAGGCAGCTGTAGTTTATTCAAGCTCACGTTCGTGTTCCATCCAAGTGACTAAGTCTAGAATGCAGTTCACTGTGCAACGTTTTGAACGAAACCCGAGTCATTCATTCGGAACGAAACCCGAGTCATTCATTTAGAAGTCAGCATGACGCAGCTACGTCATGCTGACTTCCAGGATTGAGGCTAATTTCAGTGGGGTCTTTCCTGGTTTCAGGAGAGCCGTGACTTTGGCTGTCCGCTGTTCAGGCACAGCTTCGCCAATCTTGATAGAGATAAACTTTTTGAGGTGATTGCCAGAGGCAGTCGGACCGAGGTTCCCCATTATTCCCCATGTCATCAATTCGGGACCGGGTAACTGCCGTCTGCGAGGTCATTGTAAAGCGCACTTCAATTCACGAAGTAGTAAAGGGTGGTAAATGTTTGTATCAAACGCATGTAAATTGCAGCCAATGGCTTTTTGGGCTATGACATAGGATGCACGGTGCCTTAACGTCATGGCTGTACTGTTCGAGTTTACCAGTAATTCACGAAATCGGTCTGTGAGTGCCAATTCTGATACTCCTCTTGACAACGCCATAGCGCGACGAGGATACATCTGTATTGCTGCTAAACGGAATGCCGTGACTGTGCTGTTTTGCCTTGTGAGGTTTCTAACAGCTACCAACTTGCTCAGAGTTTTCACCATCAATGCCTGGATAGCCTTTTCAACTTGCGTTGGAGAAGGTCGTGTCCGTACTGAGCTTTTTGATATTCCTCCATCATCCCCGACTTTCGATACTTTCTTTCTGCTCTACGGCATATCAACCCAATTTTTTCGTATGATGCATCTATTCCCGCATATTCTTCGGGGTCAGACACTGACCGTGTTACACGATCAAAATTTGCCTTCACAATCGAAGTAAACTCTTCTAACGTGTCCATATTTTTGCAGTGCATGGCTTTCAGCCTCCGGAAGCTACGCCATTTCGTGATATTCATATTTTTATGTTTCCGGTTTAAACACATCACTTCTGATTACTGTACAAAAATGGGGAGGTGGTCATTCCAGTGCGTTTTAACGTCTATGTGCCAGATCATATCAGAAACATAATATATCTTGTCAGCAATGCGTTAGGCCCGGAACGCTGAAATAACTGCGTTCTTGAATAAAAGTTTCAGAGCTATCGTTTAACACTCATACATTATTTTTGTCAATGATATCTACTATTTTACTGCGCTTGTCATATTGCATGCCGCCCCAGAGTGTATTATGTGGGTTAAAACCACCAGCCATAACGAACGAACTAGTAACAGTATCTAAGATGGACGTGATATCTTTTTCGGTGATAGCTATGTTTGGTTCGATATAAATGTTAATTACGCTAAATGTTTTCTCAACAAACTTGTCGTTAATCAAAATTAACTGTTGGGCAAGTTGGCTACACATTGTATAAAAATTCAAAAGCGCAAACACCAAGGAAAAGAAGAGGGGACAGGACAGAGCGCTTACTCCAACTGGAAGTTTAATGCATTCCCCGAGGAAGACATAAAAGAACAATTAGGCATGTGAAGGCAAAAAAGAAGAAGAAAAATTATTGTTATAATAATTATAATAACAAAAATGTTATAATAATAAAAATTATAACAATAATTTTTCTTCTTTTTTAACCCTTCACATGCCTCATTCTTCTTTTATGTCTTCCTCGGGGAATGCATTAAACTTCCAGTTGGAGTAACCGCTCATTCACACTGGGAGCGGATCCGCGTTCGCAACCGCTTTGCGAACGCGGATCCGCTTCCAGTGTGAATGAGCGGTAAGGGCTCTGTTCTGTCCCCACTTCTTTTCCTTGGTGTTTGCGCTTTTTAATTTTTATACAAGCTTGTCTTTGCATGCAACATATTCTGGCCCATCAGATGAAGATGTGCATAAAAAGATCGAATTGTATTGTTTCTTCACACAAATCAAGGCTCGACTTGAACCACCTGGATGTTTAGAGATGCATGAGGCATAGCCAGCAAGTCTGAATTGGCCATCTGTGTGTCCTTCAGATATTGTAATAACAGGAAACTGAAATTCGGCTACGAGCTTCCGGAAGTCACCCATTTTTGTACGAAAAGCATTGTTCCACTGAAATACTGTCGTTCAGCGATGTTCTTCATTCATTTATATCAATCCATTCGAATCCACTAAAAGAGTCTCCCTAGCAAGAAGTGTTTTTATCTCGGAGATGTACAGGGTGTTGGGAAGTGATTTGATGATTGCTTTCACTGCCAGAACGACCAGTTGGAGAAGCAATTGTAGATCCATCCCTTGGTGTGGTGGATTACCGGTGTGCCTGTACAGCGGATGGCCGTGTCAAAAGTGTTCGACATTTTTACAAGGGAAGTTGAGATTCTGGAAGCTTTGCGGGCGAGAGATCCGGTAGGCACTGTTGGCTGTGGCTGTAGAGATGTTCACTATGAAATTGGGGCAGAGGTCATTATATCACGTTGAGCTTTCACTTTTGTGGTACTTGCCCGTTTCTTCGAAAATCGTTGCAAAATATTTGAGCACGTCCGTTCTTTTTTAGGCGTCGATAATTCTGTTTGACTTGGTGATTCAGGCAGGAGTACCGTCTCTGGATTCCGAGCTGGCGATCTACGACTGGGACACGGCCGTTCAGTATTTCCTGTTTCCTTAGCACGGCGGAAGCTATCTTGCTGCCGCCGTGCATATGTTGTCGCATGAGAACATCCGCAGTTCGCGCCGTTTGCTTCAGAGCGATAGTTGCAGTGTTTGTGGTGATGTGGGCCGTCACACATCTTGCAACATCTTTTGTTCCTGCAGTTTTCTTCGATATGTCCAAACCGTTGGCATTGGTAGCATTGAATTTGGGCGCCGAAGTCTACCTCAACAAGGTGGCTCATAAAACCAAAATACACACGATTTGGCATAGAACGGTCATGTATAAACCGAAGCATCAGGCTGTACCCGAGGTGAGGCGTTGAGGTGCCGTCCTCCTGTCCCTCGTATGCGATCTGACTTCGGACGTATGTAACACCTGCATCGTGTCGACATCATGAGGACGAACCGGGCAAACGAGTGCTTTTTTGTACCTTTTTAAGAACAACTCAGATTATGGAATCTTTTTTGTATGTGAATGTGTGTGTAGGGGCTCGGAGGTGGAGGTGCTTTTAGCCAAAAGGCTATCACCCGCACTCTGTTCCATTGCAGGTGGCTCTCCAGAACACATCGGGGTCTCATTTTTGTGGGGGATCTATCATCGAACCGGATATCGTTGTGACCGCTGCGCATTGTCTACGAGGGTACGTATACGCTCTGGTTTATGATAAAAATGTCACAAGCGTCGCACTTTCGTTTCTAGGGAAGGTCCAGCGGATATATTAGTCCAGGCTGGAATTTTGGACCTCAATAACCCGCCCGACTACAGCCAAGTGCGCCATGTAAGTATCATACCGTTAAACAAATGACACCATTTTCATTTACAGTGTGCATTAAGTTTCGAGGTTTTTCACTCGAGAGATATTGTATAACTGAGAGTCCATTATCCACACTCTTCACCAAAGATGAAGTTGTATTTGCTCTATACTCGTCACGTCAAAAACCAAAAAAAAAAAGTTTGAGCATTATTAACGTTCTTCGCGATGTAGTTTTTAAAAGATTTTATCGTTGAAGGAAGAATGATGCTTTTAGCGTTTGAAATGTGTACGCCTTGATAAAATGGCACAAACCTAACCTAAGATGCTCCTACATATAGCCTGATTCAACAGATGACTCGAAAAATTAGGAACATTCCGTAAATAACCGTCTTTTTTTGTTTGCTAAGATACTAGAGGAGAAAGCGAGCGTAGCTGCAAATACTTTTTGGTAAGGATTGTGTTATAACAGTTGTGGTCGGTTTGCCTTGCTGCGATCGGGCGACGTCGAGATTTTCTCGGGCCTCTTGAAGGTTATCAAAGAAGCGCTTTCGCAGTTCCTCTGCGAACTTCACGGAGGGGCGAAGCCTTACCCCAGACTCGGTAGAAAGGAGACTGCTAAAAAGCGGGAACGCGAGCTCCTTGCCGAAATTCAATTGGGCAGGAGTAAGACCCATTGACCGATTAGTGATCGTACGGGTTGTGAATGCAAGCTCCGGCAGTTTCCTGTCCCGGTCCTTGTGGCGGTCAGTGTAGGCCACTAGCATCATCTTAAGGTTCCGATTTACCCTTTCTGTGATGTTTGCTTGCGGGCGGTATGGGAAAGCTTTTTGTACTTAATTTCCAGCACCGCGCAGGCGTCCACGAACACCTTACTCGTTAGGTAGGAGGCATTATCGCTTACAAGTTGTGCTGAAAAGCCCAACCTAGCGAATGTTTCAAGTAGACACTCCCAGATTTTTTTGCGAATTTAGCTTCCGCAAAGGGAATAACTCAACGCACTTCATGAAGTGGTCGGTTACTACGAACAAGTACTGATTGCCGCGGGTACTACGTTGGAAGGGCCCCATGACGTCACAGCAACAAAACTGTCAAAGGCTCTGGCTCACGATTGGTTGCATGAGACCGGGGGGTGACCACCATTTTTTTTTTTGCTTTCTGGCACACCGAGCAGCTACGAGCGTGTCGGAGCACATCCTGCCTCATACCTGGCCAGGGTACCAATCTGGGATAACTTTTCGTAAGTTTTGCTCCCACTGCTGTGTCCTACCAAGGCAGAGATGCATGTATAGGATGAAAAGTTTACGTAGCTTGCGGGGTATCAAGGTGGCCGCCAGCCGAGCCCTGATCAAGAGCAAGGAGTTCATGCTACAGCTGGAGCTGACCAAACAGCTGCAGAAATGCAGCACTTGACCAAGGAGCTGGGGAGAGCGGACGCCGAACGCATCGCGCGCGTCAACCAACCAGAGCCGTTTATTGAGAGAGTTTGGTCATACATTGGTTTGAATAGGCAACCATCTCGGGGCCAACCACAGGCCGCGAAACAGTGGTCGTGTGCTCTAAATATATGGCACGACTAGTTTGAGCCTTTTTAGCGTCGCTAGAGTGAAAAGGTTTAGCTCTCGGTGACTGAAAATTTGTGCATGTGAGGTTTTAGTCACGCCAATATTCAAGTGTAGAATAAACCAACGTGCGCTCCAAACCAGAGCCGACTTGCTAGAAACAGCATCTCAGCTAAAACGGGGAAAGAAACCACTGCCAAAGCCAGCGCACGAGCCGAGCGGGACTCCGCGTCTCAAGACGCTCGCGCGCCTCACCCTTTGGACTGTTTTCTTTGGGCCAGTCTCATGACGCTGTTCTAGCAAGCCGTCCGAGAGCGAACAAACATCAGCAGTGCAGACAAAGGCATGGGCACGAGCGCGTGGCTTTGGAAAGTGCCTCCTATGCACGAGTTCTCGTACAAACAAAAGCATTTCGCTGAGCTAGACTCACTCGCCTGTGCCTTTGTCTTTACTGCAGACATTTGTGAGATGGAGTAGAGAGACCGAGATTGAACGCTAATATTTCACGCTTCAAATGTCGTTTGCAATATTGTGACGTCGCGAACTCTTGATTGGTCGCGCTGTGTCACAAATTTAGTTTACGCTCTAAGCGGGGGGGGGGGGGGGGGGGGGGGGGGGGGGGGGAGGGAGGGAGGGATATTCGGCGCAGGCGGCGGCCTTTGCTCCGCCTTTTGGCCAAACTCTCCCAATACACGGCTCTGCAACCAACGTGGCGAGCGCGACCTCCAACGGGCCATCGGGCTTGTCCGGCAGGCGTCGACCGGACTTGCAACGTCAGTCCGCCCAGCAGTGCCAACCACCCCCTGACGCCCATTACAACGCCTGCCCGACCACGGCTATGTTCCATATCTTACCCGAGTAACGTGCCTTCTACGTCAGAGTTTACTACCACGTGACATCGCAAGTAAACGATCCGCGACTCGATTTGGGAACGGCCGCGATAATAACCTGGATACTACGCGGTTTCGCTTCGTCTTTGGATAGGGAAACAAAAAAACACAGCAGCGGTGGCAGAAAATAGCAGACGATTCTTTAGATCACGAAGAAAGCACTCGAAGAGACGATAGTATTAATGACGACGCGTTCCTTTTTTAGGTGGATCCACCAGCTCCTTTTACTCATCTTCCTTTTGAGCTGTATATTGATATAAAAATTACTTAGTCCTTACAATTAGATATCAAAATTAATCAGCGCGAACGCCCTAAATGCATATTCCAAGCATTGTAATTTGCACCGATTATGTTTTGCAGAAATTGATTCCACGCGGTTATATGGTACAGCGCGAGGATGCTTTCTCAAAAATGATATGAAACTGACGTTCGCTTTGACGCGAATATGATTACAATAAAATCATCGAAGCCTTCACAGCTTTACACGCGTTATTATCCTCTGATTACACAGACTCTGGAGGAAACAAAAATACTGCCTTATCATTTATTCCGTTCAAACATTTTCAATCTTGAACGCCCAGGACGAGAATGCGGAGAAGCTCCTGTTTACGCTCGCACTCTGATAATAACAAGTATAACTTCCCGGGGAAGGTGCATGTTCCGGATGAAATGCATTCAATTCGTGCGATGAAAAATTCAAATCGCAATAACCACACATACTGCACCTATTCTTTGTCATTTCGAACGTCCGCCACCAAAACCAATGGAGCAAGCGAGCTTTGACGGCTGTCGGCGCGGAAAACAGACGAAGAGCAGATCACGTGACGTATTTACTCGATTTGATCTGACGTTACCCCCCGATCGAGGAGGGTAGCGTGAGTAATTACTCCGGAGTAAACAACGCGCTTCTGCAACGCGAGTTCTGACGTGATCAAGTATGTTCAAGTAAGTTTTTGAACGCCACGCTACGAAACCTTTGCTCCGGAGTCGTTTCTAGTAAATTTTGGAACACAGCCTAGGAGGCAAAAGTGCCGAATTTTTCCCGCGTGGCGGCGATGTCACGCCAGCCACGCGCACATCGCATGCGCCGCCCTGATAAGGCGCATCACAGGCGGCGCGCAGGGAGTCGCTGGCTGGACTCAGCGCCGCCGGTAACAATGTTAATCGTCTTGCCCATGTCCAATTAAATGTAGTTTCTTGTTGTTGAAACCGTTGGCTCCGTGTTATTCCTCCGGGTCGGGTATGCAGCAAGGCAAACCGACCACACAGTGAATCATTTGTATATACCGAGACAAAAGAGTAAATCAGCAGTGATTTAACAAGTCAAATTTATTGAGAAAACAAGACATGCTCGAAACAACTCTGCTTAATTCGGCCCTCTGGCTTGAGGCTAGCAACGGGTGTTATTAGCCCCGAGAGCGAACATAAGCGTCGCTGCGGTCGCCGCGCCCTGATTGGGTGAAGTGTACCGTGACGTCAGGGGGAGGACTCCGCTCAGCGATCTCGCATCCGCTCGCTTCCCAGCACCGGTTTCCTGGTTTGGCGTTGTATGCCGAAAGTTCTTCGAGGAGCTGAACTTCGTTTACCCGGTGTACAGGACGTTGAGTTAAGCCGATATTGACGTGCTTCCGTACATTTTTTAAGCCTGCTCGTCCCTTTTACCTTTAGAATAGGGTTACAAATCCCGAAAGCTTTCGGCGGAGGCGATTCCGCCGATGAACCTCCCCGTCCGTCCACACGACACAAGGCAATCTTCCGAGGGGTTGGTGAAGCGGTGGCGCAAGTGTTTCAGACGCTGAAATTCTGTTCCTTGCATGTTCATGATTTAGGACGATATTACATCCCTCTTTCTAGGCATTTTAAGTGGCATTTATATCATGGGCCTTTGGGTGGTCGGCAAATTAGCTTGCGACCCCGACTCTGCGCTGCCACTCTGCATGCGCTGGTTCGCAGATGTTTTAAAGGCCCTGCGTCTGATGATATTTAAAGTGCTCGTGGAACAGGGTTGTTTTACATAAATGTAGCTTCTTCGTGAATTAATTATATAGTCTATACACGGATGCCGGCATATTTCTTAGAAGATGCACAATTACTGGAAATTAGTTTGTATGGTAGCAGCAAAAACGGCCGAATAGCCCCCGCCGAATGTATTAAACTGCGCAAAATATGCACAGCAATAGTGCCGTAATTTGGAATGTTTATACTTTTCCCTGACATTCTTTATTTGAGCCTTGGGTATCGGAAAATACGCCGTTTATTCTGACTTGTCATTTCCAATTAAAACAGACACTGCTGCAGGTCCCCAAAAGCTTCCTCAGCCTCCAAACTCCCTACAGCTGGACTTTCTGACAACAAAGGAAAACAGGAGTAAAAGCAAGCATTCGAACGTCTGTCCAGTGGTAGGTGTTTCACTAGTAGCAGAAAATGAACCTGTGAAGGGCGACAGTCGGCGTGAGAAAAGCTTCTGGTATTTTAGCTTCAGGACAATTCGATTTAAGTAAAATATCAATTTTAGGGCTTATGGGACTAATAACGAGCTAGACACCTTTGCTTACGTTTGTGATACATTACTTGAGGATTGATATAAACAAGTCCACAGATACCACCCGTGTAGTCCATTGAAATACTATCCGAATCCAGCAGAGGTCAAATGCGAGCAATGTATATAATAATTTTTTCTTGTTTTTGTTTTACTTTGTCCCTGCACTTGGGCTGTCTTACTTGTGATTCTCTCCCCATGGCCCAGACTGTATTTAGCATGTTGCTCGAGCAGCATGCAGCTTTTTTGCTTCGGCGATCTTGTTTGAAAACAGAGCTACAAAAAAAAAATACTATACATAACCTGCCAATTCATCCAGACCATCAGCAGCATTTATTGTGCGAGATGTAAATCTATAGTGATGATCCTGCAATTGTGGCCATTTTCTTTATTTTCATATACCAGCTGTGATTCATGCGTTGCCTGCCCTGTCAACCATGCTTAAAATGCTGGTTGAAGTTTCGCCTGTAGCTACAAGCCATACCTCAATAAAGGCACATATAAAAATTCACACTTCCTACGAAAAACACGCAAAAAAAAATTTAACAGAAACGAGCGCGCCGACAGCTAGCGTCGTCACAGCCTCCACAGGGCGAGCGGGGCGAGTCAGGGAAAAGTTCTCTCCTCGCCGTGACGTCATCCCGGTTCGCCGTAAGGGGGCGCCACGCGAACTACTCGGGGCTAATAGGGCCGTTCTATTTCAACGGTGTCGTTACTAGAGATTCGATAAGTACGTAACACGTTACTAGTAACGAGTTACTGCTGCCTAGTTCTGTTTCGGTAACGAGTGACGTATTTAGTTATATTTGAATAAAAGAAACGAGTAACGTACTTAGTGACTTTAAAGGCCAAGTGACCAGTAACGGTATTCTGTTGCTTTTGATGAGTAACTTGTGGAGCGAAAACGAAACGCGTCAGTAGAACGATTCTTGAGCGTCGCCTCAGATGTATTCTCAAAAAAGCGGGGAATCATATTTGATGAAAACTTTGAGAGTTAGCTACTGCTTAATAGCAACGACTACTAAAGAAAAAACAAACATTTATGAAACAAAAAGCAATTGTGTATTCGGTTGTCAAAATAACGAGAAAAGTAACTGGCTAAATTTAAGGCAAACTGATGCATCCCTTTTGAAAATCGGCAACGAGTAACGTTTTCAGCTTCCCTTTGTGCGAGTAAAAAATAATGTTATTTAATTAACTTTTTGGGGCAATGTGTACATGTCTGCTAGCGATATGTTACTAACTTTATTAACGGCACTTGCGGTGGCTCTCGATACCTCATTTTGATGATCGAACTAATCAGTTAAGACTGCAATTCGAATATATACAATTCTAAAGAACAAATCGACCGTTTTTGTCACTGCCCGCAGGTGCGAAAATTTGCCGTTCACGAGTCGCTTGAAGGACAGTCCAGCGATATAGCACTGCTCAAGTTGGTTGAGCCTTTTGACTTTGGCGAGAGCCAGGGACACATCGGCGCTGTCTGTCTTCCCGCCAAGGATCGCCCGTTAGAGGGCAAAGTTGCAGTCACCGGCTGGGGACTAACATCAGAGGGTAATGGAGTCTTGAGTTGTTACACCTGTTCGATTGGTGCCTATTGAGATAATGCTGAGGTTAGTTTTAACTCCTCGATTACTAACCATTAATTTTTTTTTTTGCTTGCTTAAAGGAGGGGGAACACTGATTTTAAGATTAAAATAATTTGAATTTGGTCATTTTTACTTTGTTTATTGTGTCCCGGAGGATAGAGAAAGCTTCTCCTTCATAGAAACTGTCGCGATTTCGCTGCATAATTGCAAAGCAAAAGTCGAGCTTTTCCCCCTCCAGCATCCACAAGTGTCACCCGAAGGAACTACGGCTCTAAGCTTAAGTGACCTCGCGCGGCTCTAAGCTAGGGCATAACACCCGCTAATGAAAGCAGACAGAGGGAGAGGAAGCGCCCTCCGAGAAAGCGCATATGGTAACCTACACGGCACCCCGAATTACGTTACTAGGAGCGCGACCATGTGTGACCCTGAAGACTGGGAGTCATATGAGGGGTGCCAGAAATGCCAATATAGATCTTCTTTTTTTACTCAACAACTAGGACACGCAGGAAATCGGTTTTCTGTTCTTTACCGAAGAGGTGTCAGAGGGCAACTTCCACAACTTTTAGACAGAAGTCTATAAATCATTGCACGCTCCCACCCCCTTTTTTTAAGACAATATTTTAAGACCTCACAAACTCGGAACGCGAGATGCACGATTCTCACATTTAAGAATTCCTGGTTTCGCATTTGTGCGACTGTAAAGCTCTTATTCATAAAAAAAAAATATAATGCAAGTGTGGTCAATGAGAACATAAGAAAACCGGGGAGTGAAATGTTATGATAAGGTTTCTAGCTTGACATACTTGATTTTTTGTACCCTTTGCGGGAATGTGATCTTGTATAAATTGCACTCCAAGCAGGCTTCCCAGAAAAACACTAAAAGTGGCGCGTGTTTTTAATTTTTTTTTTTTTTTTTTGCTGGCGTGAGTATAACTAGCATTCATTTTACTCCACCGAACGTATTGTAACTCATCGGGAGGAAGCTGTGACGCGCCTATATTTCCCCAAAATCCGCAGCAGTAGATCATCTCAGGCTCCCGACCCATGTTTGAAACTTCGAGAAATTCGCGAAAACAAAATAATATGACTTGAAACTTTTGTTGCTAGTTCAGGTCCGTCTGAAATGGGGTCAAGCAGTTTTGAAGCCAAATCAGTGACTACTGATATTTTGCCAGAGCTAACGCGTGACGTAAATGCTTACGCTCGAGGTAGCTCGTTCTATGTGAGGATAATGATAGGCAGTTGTATCTTGATGCAATTACTACTTGCTTTTACGTTTTGTTAGTGCCTGCTCTGGTCGCTCTACTTCGTCACAATGGTATGGGAGAGCCCTTTCTAGTCAGCACTGTGTTGCTATGCCCACGGAACGAGATGATGGGAGAAATCAGACAGCGTCAAAAGCGCACCATCATGACATTCTTCATGTTTCTGCACGTGTTATATAATCACTGAACCAGTCATAAACAAAAAAAAAACAGTGACTCGTGGACTTCAGCTGCAACGAAATAGAGGTGTCACCAACGCGGGTTTAATGTCGGTTGGTCATCTTCCGTTTCAGTGGTTTATGATATCGATAGAACAGTAGAAGTCCAGTATTGCTGAGAGAAGAATGGCACAACCGTTGAGATGCAGCATCCCTTTAGGAACTTTCAAGTACCCATGCAAGGATGTGTTTTTGTGTGTATGTTTAGGCAGCCTGAAGTTAGTTTGCCTCAACTGGCGACTTGCCTTTGAGCTGTAGAAAATCAATTTAACTAGTGCGGTACAAACGCTAGCCGGGGTCTTTAGCCTGCACTACGCAGTAGTGATACATGACCACACGCTGATAAGATGCTCATCCAGATCAAAACAGGCAAGGGTGGAGATTGAGCCCATGATCCCTGGGTTCTGCAGCGCTCGGCCACCGATCTTCCTCATGACAAATAGTACATCTAGAAACAAACAAAAATATTAAAAAAAATACGACAAGGACAAAAATCACTGAGGCTCGGTGTCGCGGAATCAAGCTTTACAAATTTCTTAAAGGAGCCAATAAAACGATTTTACTACTTTCGTCTAAATAAGACTTAGAATCACTCTGTAACGTTAACAACTGAATAAACTGGAATCAGTTTTCCTCTCCAGGCGATGACAATCGTCAAAATGTGTGAGAAATATGAGCATCGTTTGTCCCCACAACTTGAAGCCATAAGAAGCGGCCACGTGGCCTGGTACCTGTGCTTTGCCGCCAAAGTTAATCATAGCCACACGCTAAAGTTGGCAAAGTGGAAAACGCGTGCTGAACAAGCATTGTTAGAGTTCAGCTACTCTTATCATCGCAGTGGTTGAACACGAGCCACTATCCGAATATCCGGCGATTCATTGATTGTTACGAGCCGAAGTCGAGAGCTCAGACAGTTCTCTTATCCAATCAATGAGCCGCGCTCCATTGTCGTCAGGTGGGTGGCTTCAATCCCACAATTACGTCATAAAGCTTTCCAAAGGCAAGACTGAAGGAAATAGTGCGGTTTTATCTCGCAATTTCACCGCATCAAAGAGGTTTCTTAATCAGTGGAGATTAGCGGGAATATACCTGGGCCAGAATAGGACCAAAACGCCTCTGCAAAGTCATGTTTACTCCAGAATGATATAACGTCATAATCACATAAAAACAAACAATTCAAATACTGCCATGCCTTCAGCCCAGCGTGCGATCCCCTCAACCTTCACGCGCATGTTGATTGCTTCGGAAAACGAATCAATCACACGCTACGCACGAAAATGGAACCGGCCAAGATCTCCGCTTCGGAGAGGTTTATGAGGGATGTTCACGGGGTGCCATGATACTGTACGTTGTTTACAACACGAACCGTACACTAGCTCTGATTTGTCGACTCCCAAGAAAAAGGATTGTGATTGTGTGGAATGAACGTTGAACGTGCATACTGGTTCTTTCTTAGCAGGCAATGAAGCCAAAGCTATTGGTACCCGTGCGCTCGCGAAACTTGAGCACCGATCAAAACTGAGCATGCGGCACGGTGTCCGCTTCTCTTGAAATGCCATACAAATTTGTCCTCGAGCATCGTTTTGAGAAAGCGCTGCGAAAAATGAGCAACCAAATGGCGCCCCGTGAATACCACTATATTAATACGATAAGTGGAGGTCTGTTATACGGTCAGGGCCAGGGGGACATAACATAGGGGATAATCGCCTTAATAAGCTGCTGAAGGAACTAAAATGTGTTCATTAACTTCGTAATTCTAGAATATGAAAACTTGGTTTTAATCAGACACTTGCTGAGTGTCAAAGAAAAAAATGAAAGCCGCTTACAACTCCCTGTAACGCCGAATTAGAGCGCAGCTCTTGAGGAGGAGGAGGGAAGGGCACTGGGGGGGGGTTAAACTAACCAGGGGGGGGGGTCACGTTACCTTGGGGGTCACGTGACCCCCAATGCCGATGATGTCATCACTGACGTCACTGATGACGTCATCAGTGACGATGACGATGCGGGTACCGATGACGTCATTAGTGACGTCACTGATGACTTCACCAGTGATGATGACGATGACGATGCGAATGTCGGTGACGTCATCAGTGACGTCGCTGATGACGTCATCAGTGATGATGACGATGACGATGCGGATGCCGGTGACGACATCAGTGACGTCACTGATGACGTCATCAGTGATGATGACGATGACAATGCGGATGTCGGTGACGTCATCAGTGATGATGACGATGACGATGTGGATGCCGGTGACGTCATCAGTGATGATGACGATGACGATGTGGATGCCGGTGACGTCATCAATGATGATGACGATGACGATGTGGATGCCGGTGACGTCATCAGTGATGATGACGATGACGATGCGGATGCCGGTGACGGCATCAGTGATGATGACGATGACGATGTGGATGCCGGTGACGTCATCAGTGATGATGACGATGACGATGTGGATGCCGGTGACGTCATCAGTGATGATGACGATGACGATGCGGATGCCGGTGACGTCATCAGTGATGACGATGACGATGTGGATGCCGGTGACGTCATCAGTGATGATGACGATGACGATGTGGATGACGGTGACGTCATCAGTGACGATGACGTCATCGGGGGGTCACGCGACATCGGCGGGGGTCACGTGACCTCGAGGAGGGGGCCACGTGACCTCAGGGGAGTCACGTGACTTCGGGGGGTCACGTGACCCCCCACGAGGTCACGTGACCTTGGTGGGGGGCTCGCGCGGTGCATTATGGGACATTTCCCATGATGCACCGTGCGGTTACGCCGACGCCGACGCCGACGCCGACGGCGACGCCGCTCAAGCCGGAAACGGGCCCCTAAGAGCTGCGCTCTAAAAAACTAAATCACTAATGTTAGAAAGATTTGGGGCGCATGGGTAGCGTAGTAGCATGAGTAGCGCACCACGTGGTGGTGCGCTGAAAGTTCCTGTAACACGCGCAAGGCTAGTGGTGCTAAAACTCGCCGGCGCGTTTTATAGCAATGCTGTATACGACTTGTTCGTCGGTTTGTTTCGTCTCCGTCAACAGAACAGTAGTCGACAGATAAAATAGACAAAAGAAAACCCACGCGCGCTCCTTATCTTTAATTATGTTGTTTTACACTTGTTTCAATAAGCAAACCAAAAAATAAGTTCCAAAACCACGTGATAAACCACCTATGTGGCTTCGACGCAAAGCGCCGGCTTACGGATCCCCATGTGGCGGGTTCAAATCCTGGCCGAGGTGCCCGAAAACTAATAAGGCTTATACGGAGAAGGTGCAGTGTTATCGTGCTTTCCGTTGCGCGTCGCAAGGTCCCCAATGATACAAATTAATCCGCAGTTCTCCACTGGGACGTGCCAGATGGCCGTCGTTGGTTTGGCACCCAAAACCTATAAACTTTGCAGAAAAACACGTGATAGATGAAAACAACATAACGCTCCCGGCATGCATTTCTCTGTAACGATTGCTGTTGCATAAGCTGCAGCGGCAACTTCAGCGTACGAAGTCTTTCATAATATTAAAAGGCTTTGGTACAGTCCATTTAGTTTTCTTTCATCAATCATTTGGTATAGACCCTTTTGCTGTTGACAGACATAAACTGCCACTTGCGTCCCAAGCGACTTCCGGTCGCACCGTCTTTGTAAGCCTCTTGAGATTGCTTATGTCACCAGTGCTGGGAAATATAAATGCTAAATGAACAACAAAGTTGGAGATTTAACAGGTGTCTTCGGTTGTGCAATATTACATCTTGGAGGAGCCAAGTTGATTTGCAATAATACTCGATACATTTTAACGGACCTCGTACTCCTTCGTTCCTTAGGCCTTCACCTGGAGAAGTAGTGTTAAAACGATTCATTTTTATTTCAAACATAGGTGTTAAGGTGGCCTCATTGCCATATCTACACGTCTTTCAATCTTTTTATAAACACCAAGTTATCTAGGGCGTCAAAGAGTAGAGTACCACCTGGTGGCGTTTCTAAAAAGAGGTTCTATAGTACAGTGGGCAGTCGTTACAGGTGATACCACAACTTCGCTGTCCAACTGCCTTCAGAACGTGGATTGGAGCCTTCACTTTTTTCCGTCTCTTATCGTCTGAGGTTTCGCACCACCAGCATTGCGGCCATTCCACGAGTGGTAAATTTAGCGCACCACTGCACTTCCTACGCGGCCCGAATATTTATAAAATTTAGTCATATAGTGGCTTTTGATGATGCTCAGCAAGTTTCTATTTGAAACCATACGTTTCTTTTCACTAATTCAAAATATATTGAATTAGTTGTACTTAATTATTCGACTTATCGTGAAGATTAGCCGCCTATCTTATGCCCCCTGGCTGCCTAACTCACCCTCACAAACCAGATTAGTGAAGCTTTCAACAATGTTTTTTTCTTCTTTTTTTAACCATTTATTAAAAGCAAAAAGAAAACACTATACTCTTTTTCTAATAAATCGTATGTTTGCTAGAATGACCTACGTTCATAAACATAGCTCACAAGTCAACTTAGTTTGGTTTTTTTAAGAGAAATTAAAAGGGGGACTTTTGGTGTCACTTTTGCGTGTGACTTGGGCAGAGAGTTAAATTTGTGAGAAGCGACGTGATATTATTTAGCAGTGTGTGTTGTCGCAGTAGAATGACATGTGCTCTTTATATATTAGAGCGCAGATCTTAGGCGACCGTTTCCGGCTTGAGCGGCGTCGCCATCGGCGTCGGCGACGTCGTAACCACGTATTGCATTATGGGACGTTTCTCATAATGAGGTCACTCGTGACGTCACATATGACGTTACGAGGGTTACCCTCACGATGGTCACGAGCATAGGCGTAGACTTCAGGGAGGCATCGGGGCTCGTGCCGCCCCCTGGTGTGATCCAGGGATCGCAGGACCCCCCCCCCCCCCCCCCCGGGCCCGACCCATGATCCTTACCGAGACGCCGTTCACGTGCCATGTAACGAGCCTCTATAGTAATGGCCTGTAAACAAAATAACGCCTTCGTTGCCTTTATTGACAAAATGCATGGGAAATGGAATCACAGCGCGCTTTCGTTAGCTTCAATCTCCAGTGCTGGCGAAAAGGTAACGCGCACCCCTCCCCCCTCTGCCGGAGAACTTCTCAGCCTGCCCAGCCCCACCCCCCCCCCCCTCCCCCCGGAAAAAGGGAAAGTTTACGCCGCTGGTCACGAGGGTTACCCACACAAGGTTTACCCTCACGGGGGTTACGAGGGTCACGAGTGTTACCCTAACGAGGGTTGCGAGGTTTACCATTACGCGGGTCACGAGAGTTACCCTCGTGACGTCACACGTGACGTCACATGTGACGCCAATATAAGAAGCACGTGACGTATGACGTAACGTGTGAAGTCGCGTGACGCTACACGCATCTAACATTGCCAATATTGGCGCTAAATTTATCGGAAAAAGTTTTCTGCTAAGTTTGGCGAAAAGAAATTCCGCTGAATTTACCCTTGGACGTCACGTGTGACGTCACGAGATATACAAAACTGCCATCTAAATTTAGCGGAAAATTTTCCCCGCTACATATTGCTGAAAAGAAGAGGGGCATACCCTCCCCTACTCCTCCTCAAGAGCTGCGCTCTGATTCGGCGTTACAGAAAATTGTAAACGTCTTCAATGTTTTTCTGTTTTGCAGTTGGTTTGTTCTGAATTTTGATAAATAAAGCATTTTCTCGGATAGCACGTTACTATCTGAGCTAGACAAACTCCAAAAAGTCAAGATCACGGGTAGCAGACATTTTATAGAATATTCTATAACCGCGATTGTTGAGGGCCGGAATACACAGTCCTATTTAGCGATACCGAAAACTTTGCTGAAGCTCGCGCTAGGGTTACATTTGCTTGCAAAATCTATTTCTATATCAAGAATCGTACAAGCGTTTTTGACCAAGCAGAGAGCTCCCGCTAGTATAGTTTATATCCTTGAGATGTTTTATCTACATTAACTTTCAGCTTTGCTTTGGTGACCTTATACACTACCGTTTGTCCTCCAAAAGTTGTGCCTTTTTATTGCGCGTCATTATGGCAGCGCTGTTTCAGGTGTGATTTTGCGTATACTCACAAGAATTTAGGTTCATTTTAATATATATGCATGCAAATTTAAATTATATCTCACTTTTTTGCATAATTGTTCACTCATTCGTTTATATATTTGCTTAATTTATTGGAGAAGAGCAGGAGAGAAAGAATTATCACTTCGTTGATTGTTATTTTTTATTTGTATATCTTGTGTGCCGCAACGGCATTTTACTCTACTGAATAAGGGTGTCAGACAAGTTGTTGATTAACAGCAATGAAATAATCAAAACTAACATTTCGCTCCCTTAGTATCCGGTCTCCGTGAGGGGCATTTTTTTTTTTTTACGTGCTTGGTTTCCCATCGCTTGCTGTCATTTATCGTTCACCTTTGGAGTGTTTCTCAAGACGCAGACTTTAGTTTTCGCTGGAATAAAATAAACAACAATTTTCGTCGTTCGTAGGACCTCCATTTTTCCAAGAGCCTTACTTACAGAAGATACAAATCTTGCAATTTAAAATTTTAAAATAAAGCAAAGGCGAGCAGTCTTTTAATTTGGAAGCCCACAATGACTGGACGCTCGATATCCTTCAATCGTTGCCAGAGTCTGGTGTTTCCTTGATATTCTACTAGTGGAGGTATTTGGGGGTCCTTGCTTTCCTCGAATCTATTCCCATCTCATGAAAGTTATATCGAACTGTATTGACAAACGTGATTGCTGCTTTCAGTTTCCTGCAGACCACGAGAGGAAACGAAATTCATCAGCAGCTGTACATTACGCATACGTAAACCAGTTTTTTAAACTCTTATCGATAGGGCTAGGGAATAATTAAATTTAATGTTGAATTACGGTAGATGTTTGGCCAGCTCTGGTTATTTCTTGGCAGGCATGTCTGACGTACTTCTGTTTCGCTAAAGTTTCGGTATAAAAGCGAACAATATATTTTCATGGACGTTTTTCTTTCATATGAAGGGAAATCTAATCTTGAGTTATCTTATTTCAGGTGGACCTAAGTCTCCGCATTTACTCGCTGTATCAGTTCCTGTATTATCATCTGAGATCTGTGCGAGTGAGACTGAGTTCACTTACGATTCCAAGACCATGTTCTGCGCCGGGAGCCCTGGAAAAGACTCGTGCAGAGTAAGAGACATCTCGCATGCTCAGGCTTGGCTCGCGCGATTTCCAGTAGTATAGAGTTCCCGAAGCATCTTGAATGAAATATCAAACTCCCAAAGTGGGGTCTACGGCGTTTTGCCCTTCACACAAATGACGGGCTACAGAGCGGCATATCTAACTGCAATCAATCAGATTTTGTTGATACAAGGTTGTTCTTTAGATGAGGTTTAATTGCAAGAATAAAACTTTAAGTACCGCATTAGCTATAGGATTACTTGGACATATTGGTCAGAATATGCGGACTACAACCCAACTGGATTGGTGAACTGGATGTACGTAGAGCATATTTTTACAATAATGCAAAGAATAATCTCTAGTATTTGATACCCTAGTTAGGACATATCGCAAAAATTACTGGAAGGGTGTTTCTTGTTTTTATCTCACAAATGTATACCATAATTAAAGCTACACAGGGAATGGCATGAGCTCATGTAGGCCAGCAATTTAGTCGATATCACTTACAGTTTGACATTACCTTGTGGGAGTACAATAGAAACAAAGCAGCGGCGTCGCCTTGGTTTATAGGAGGACTCCGGCGGTCCAGCCGTGCAGAAGGAAAGCGAATCATTCATCCTACTTGGCGTGGTCTCGTTCGGCTATGGCTGTGCCCGGCCTCCGGCGTATGGCTTCTACGTCAGGGTGCCGGCCTTCACTGACTGGATTGCGGAGAACATCGCCAAGCTTCAGTCGTGACAACATACTCTGTGTCCAAAAAAGAGCAATGTATATTCCCAAATACATGGCTGAAAATAAATCAATAAAAACTCCAAAAGCTGCTGCGTCCATTATCCGTTGCTGTCTCATCTTGGGCGTCCTCGTTGAGTATGCTTTGGACACAAGTACTGCGTCAGCGCTCGGCGTAAACTTGGGCCTAATCACAGAGTTCGCGCACAAAGCGCCGCCCAAAATATGGCCGCCGCCACTGCGTATTGATGGAAAGGGGTCTAATATTAAGTTGTGCTTTGCCTATGCAGCATTCAAAGTATGCAGACGATACACAGCGCTGAAACGCATCCAGCCGGTTTCGCTCGCATGCTTGCAAGCGATAACCAGGGCGAGAAAGGTTGCCAGCTCTAAGTTTGGTCCTGACATTTTTACTTTGCTTTATAGTCTGTGTAGTTATTCGTGAAAAAAACATTGTTTTTTGGATAATCACTCTTATTTTAACGCGAGGCGGTTGTACCAGGAGTCACCTTCTCCAAAACGTTCCGGATCGCTTTAGATGAGGAACGGCTCCAAGCATCGCTCGAGTTTTTAGAGGATTGTGTTCGTATTAAACATAGATAACCCAGCCTCTAGATCCAACTTGCGAGTCGTGTTTTTTTTTCGCAATATCAATTAGCGAGCCGTGACGCTTGTAAGTTTTTTTTTTATTTTACAAGTCTGTAAAGACTATTGCCGCGTGTGTGTCTGAGTTGGCGCTCAGACTAGCGAAAAAATGGCCACGTGTAAAGAGTAATTAATATCATGGCTTCACCTATCGAGGTAGGAGGTATGAACTCCACAAACTTGGCTAACAATTTATCGCTCGCTGATTTTCTAGAACTTATAAAATTAAAAGCGCTAACAAAGACAAGGACAAAAAAGGAAGGCGAACAGGAGGAGCGCTTAGTTTCAACTGAACATTTATTTAAAAACAGCTAAAGCAAACAACCTCCGATAAAAAAATACACTAAATCACCAATTTACGTCACTCGTCACCGCCTGTGAATAAAATCACTGTCTTTTTATGGCAGAAAAATGGACGGCTTGCTAAAGCAGCCTTCAGTGCCCTCTTTCTCTATTGCGGGCGCTTCAAGCTCTTCCCTCGCACCTTTCTCACGGGCCCTCTCCACGATGGTGGTATATTGAAAGTTGTGCTGACACAGGCAATCTCTGCAATAAGAGGCACGTAGGTTTGCTCCAGCTGTTGAACCCAAAGACAGGTCATGCTCGCGTATTCTTTCATTTACACACCGTCCTGTCTGGACGATGTACACCCTGCCGCATTGCAGAGATTGTCCGCGCCAGCTCAACTTTCAAGTTAGCACGATCGTGGGCTGGGCCCGTGAAAAAGCTGCGAGGGAAGTGCTTGAAGCGCATGCCGTAAAGAAAGAGAGCATTAAAGGCTGCGTTAGTCAGCCATAAACTTGTTTGCATCAAAAGGGCACGGTACGTCCAGGACGTGCAGTGCCCTTTTTGTTTCAGTTGGAGGCACATTTTCGCCATTTTAAACATTAATATTATTCTTATGTGTCCATAATTTTGTTTTATTCGTGACATTATTGCTTTTTATTTTCTAATAACATTCATATTTTTCTTATTTTACGAAGAATCTCACTAAGCAGTCTCCCCATCTCTACGTCGCGCTTTCTTTAAAGAGAGAGACCATGCACACCAGACTCCTAGGCGCATTTGATCAGTCTTGGGTAAGTTACTTTTAAAAAGTAACTCGTTACAGTTACAGTTACATTTAACAAGTGACGACGTTACTTTTTAGTTACTTTTCTATAACAAAAAAAACAGGAAAAACTTGAAAACGCTTTTCACCAAGTTCTATTGCATAAAATTAAAAAGTATGCTTCCTACTTCATATTGTAACTTAGCAGCAGTTGCTTCTCGGAATTAGTGTCTGAAAGTTGCCCTTGTTTGATAAGGAGCACGTCCCTGCTCTTGCTGAACAGGCGCTCATCTGCACTCTTAGCAAAAATAACACGCCCACACGTGTAAACCGTTGTCCCATAGCGGACACGTCGAAACGTGTTCGTTTTACACGAAGCCATCTGTGTTTTTCGTCTACACATGAGGTGCTATGTAAACTTAACACGGTACACCGTGTCTGCCTTCCGCAAAACCGTTTTGAGCGTGTTCCTTATGAAACATGGCGGCCAGCGGCCGAGAACAGGCGAGAGACGAGCCCAGCGAGCCGCGCGCCTTTCAGCCGAATTGAAAGCACACAGGGCGCGTTAGTTCTCGTTCGATGTCTTTTATACACAGTAAAGTCTCCAAGCGGCGGACGTAGCTACTTGCAAAGGTACGTACGAGCGTTGTCGGCGGTCGGCGGCGTCAATAGCTTCAACGAGCCGCTAGACAAAAAAAAAAAATGAATGCCGAACTCACATGAATAAATAACTTGAGCAAACTATTTAGAAGCGGGCGGTAACTTTCGCCACCTATCGAGATTTCTAGCAGCCTGTTTTAAAAAAAAGACGAGTCTGTTAACACTGCGAATGCCCACGACTGCACAGCAACCCTACATACAACGCAGGCAACACAGCACACAGTACCGACATGTACACAAACACAACAACCGACACTACGCCCGACACTTCCTACTCGATATCCATTTCTCCCCGCGGAGCATATAAGCTTGACATGTGCGGGTGAGCTCTTTGGTCGCTGACCATTACAGATTTATAGAAGAATACACAAAACACGGCGCAATGGACAGCCGTGTGTTAGAACTGTTTGCATTTAAAAAGTATGGAGGCAAAATCTATAATGTTAGTCCGTTGCAATAAATAACGATATGTTAACAATAAATATTAAACCGGCCATGAAAAAGTTCAAATTTTTGTTATTTTCTTGCTTGACCAGTGTTATGAGCAGTCCGACTAGCTTGAATCAGATAGGAAAACAAATTATTGGGATTTTGTCATTACGTATACAACAATAAATGAAAATGATCCTTGCGCAAAGCATTTTTTATATATTTTTGTGAAGGACATCCGGACATCCGCCCAACACTTCACTTCCGCTAGTTGCAGCATTGCAGTACGGGAGCAGACGCCTTCACTTTCGGGGCGTTTTGATGCAGTTTGTTGTCGTATGTCGTGTCGGTGTCGAGAAGAGCGGTGGGGCTTGGGAGTTTGTGACCGGTGTTATTCGTAAACACTGATGTGGGGCGCTGATGCGTCTTTTTTTATACTGCCACCACCCCGAACTTTGAAGATACACGGGCCCGTAGCAGTGCATTATGCTGAATCGCGAGCTCCTTCTCTGTTGACGTCGCTTTCCTGGTACCACTCGAGGATACTGCAAGCGTTTAAACAGTGTGCACCGTCTCGCCTACAACCCCGGTGACGTACTCGACCTGTTGAAACTTATTGCTTCCGTCATTTTAGAGTACGCAAGGCAGTTATCTCGTTGGTCTGGTTTCGGTTATAAAAGCACGGCAAAACGCTCGTAGTTCCCGCCCTCAGTACTCGTTGGACATCTTCCACACGTTGATACCGGATAGCTGAATGAACGAGGATTTACATTCACTTCCGAGGTTACTCTCGCCGCTTCCTCACCGTTGAGCAGCAGGATGAGCTGGCGAAAAGCCGCGGATGAAAGGCTTGAGCATCAACAGCCCAAGCGCACTCGGTGCCGATGCGGGCGACGCGGGTTTCTGTCAACCGGGAGGCCAGCACAAACCGTGACCGTTCCAGCTCTTCGTCATGACACGGTGTTGCAGAGAGCAGGGTAAAATACAGCTATACGGATCACCGAAGCAAACCACTGCTATCTTAAATATTGGCTTGTGATTGCGCCTTTGTAGTAGATCATCTTATTCGTTTTGCTGGAGAGACGCAAACGACGGGCATAACAAAATCGCTTGCATATTCCGCATATCTCACAAAAGCATTTACCCTGTCACCTTGCGAAAAGCGCGAAACACGGAGTCCGCACCGTCCTAGGCTTCCCGTTTTTTACCTGCTTTAGAGCAGTTTGTACCTGCTAGTAGATATGCCTACTGAAACTGAAACAGGGCAGTGCCAGAGAGAAAGAGACAAAGTTGAGAAAGCTTGCTCGCTCTCCAATTTCTCAACTCTCAAGTGATTGTACCATAATAAATGCAACAACGCGTCTTCCAAAATAAAGAAAGAGCACTACGGTCACAGCATAAAAAACAGTCTCAGTACATACATCGGTGGGCAGGTAGGAAACCTTGCCCTAATTTATTCACGCCGCATGATTGGCGCAACAAACTCGTTGCAGGACCGAATCATCTACTCGAGCGGTGTGCGTCGCTATGCAAACGCAGTCCAACACGAAGCATAAAAAACGTCAGATTTAAGACAACAATCCGGAGTCCATTATTCAATTAAAACAACGTAATTTTGTTGAAAACGCCCGCTGCTTCTTACTCACGGTATGTGTCGGGATACTTACACAGTTTGAAACGGAACGAAGGAAGATTTACTTTTAAAAACGCTCGCTGCGTCCTCCCGGACCAGCTGGACCGGATCAGCTGACGACGACGGGACTGTACCCGTTGAACTTCCACCACGCAACAAACAATTTGCGCTCCGTGTTAAAAGCGTGGTTCAAACAGACCCGGAATACAAAGCACCGCACCACACACGACGAATGTTTCAGCTCTTTTTCGCATCGCCGGGTTGCACCAAACAGAACGAGATCGTCGAAGTCAACGCCGCGCTGTCGTGAACCTTGGCTTGTGGTTGCGAACTCGTGGACCCTGTGACTCCCTTCGCTTTCAAAGCACACACGACGATTACGAATGCTACTTTCTGTCTTCCAGGAACATCACAGGGGCACTTCTCCGGTCACGTCTTCACTATGTGCTCGCAAAATCCGAAGCTCTATGCGAAGCTTCACGCGTCCCGTCAAACCAAAACAGTAGCGGCGCCATGCGTACTTGCCAGATTTTCTCCGGTCAAACAAAAACTACGAAAGCCAACCGGCGCTTGCTTCCAGCGTACATCGGC